GCCTCAGGGCCAGCATCATGACATTAATGTAAGGTAATTCAAGTTAATGAGAAGAGGGAGAAAATAAAGCAGGCCATAGAAAGGCCAAAAGTGTTGGAAACAGGCTGTAAGAAACCTGAATGTGAAATTCTAACATGAGCTGAAAACAGACAAAGAATAATATCCCCAGTGGAAAGGTAGCTGGTAACGTCCTTGGCTCTTTTTCCAGCGCCTAGGCTGGGAACCACTATGTGCATGGGGCCATGGATTATTTCACTAAATGGCCAGAGGCATATGTGGTTCCAGACCAGAGTGCAGCCACAACAAAGAAAAACCTAAAGCAGGCCAAAATCTGTTAAATTTGGGAGACGTGTGAAATTCTAACATGAGCTGAAAACAGACATGAATAGTTGGTGTTGATGAATACTTATATGTATAGTAGTTTAAATATAATAAGCAACTTCTGGGCACACAAACTCAAGCTCCTGACCAGTACACCAATACTTTTTGCTTTTCCAACAAGTCAGAGACTTCTGAGCAGTGTTCTTGAATTGTATAAGTGCATCTATCACTTACTGTGTTCTGCCACACATACACAATACAAGTTCACTAAGTGATTTTCCTGTACTGTGACTTTAGTGCAATGTACAATGCACCTAATGTGTGGGTGTTGGTAATGTAATATTTGAATATTTTTAAAAGGTGTTCCACAAGGTCCAATTCTGGGGACTGTTTTGTTTACGATCTACACGGACAATATTTTTTCATCTGGAACCATCTGTGAGAAACATCACTATGTAAATGATTTTTTTGGTATTTGTCTATAGATGCTGCACATTCTTCAATCCCTTCAGTACTGCTTTGATAAGTTCACTACGAGTTCAATAAGTTGTTAATGCCGAGCATAGTACATTCATGTCATTCACCAGAGCCAAATATACCTCTACCAAGAATAGTTCTGAACTCAATCCCTTGGACTTTGTGTATCATTCTGCACTCATGTTCTGTCACGTAGTTCATGCTAGTGTTTAGGAGGATTTTTGAAAACCGAAAAGAAGCAACTGAAAATGATTATTAACATGGCTTGAAAATGTCTTGTACATCCAACAGGGCCTTAAAACACAGTCATTTGAGAGTTATTGTATTTCCCATGGATGTTTTCACAAGCAAACACAATTTGTTGAGGAATTAATTACAGTTTCCTCCATGTCTGTAAATCGTTGGAAACAGTAAGTCTGTGATAATGAATGTTATAGTGAGATGAAGGAACTGTAATTGTGTTAAACACAGAGCTCTGTTGGTGGGATATGTTGAAGAGAACACAGTGACAAAAAGGTATGATGTAAATCTCTCACACTTTTGTGTCTGTTCTGCATCACGGCACATTCTGTACCTCTGCTCCTTCTGTATTGTGTGTGAAAGTGTTGACCTTTTGTGACATTAAATGCAACCAGCTGAGCAACTTTGTTGCCCTCTGGTGGCTTAAGGTAGAAGGAGCATCACTTTATATCCACATCTAGGCACATGCATGTTTGGTTAATGAGGCCAGTTCTTATATTTCCATTAAAAAACACAATTAAAGATGTGCCTGTGTTTCATAACATCTAGGTTTATCAATCTCTATAAACCTGACACTAATTTACATTAAAACTACTATTATGCAAGGTTTTTTTTCAAATGGTTTGAATTAGTGTATGTATGGTCATTAATTAAATCATAGAAAACACCTTAAAATCATTATTAAGAAGTTATGACACATACATTAAAATAGTGAAGGGTGAATATGAATATCTGATGAAACAGACGTTTTATGGTAGTTGATGGAAAAAACAAACTAAGATCCATAACAAGCAAGATCAGTGTAGTTGAATGACTGTTCACCATTTCAAGAGTGTGTCATACATTACTGAAACCCTCATAAGGATGTATTATTCATATTTCAGATTACTTAACAACTCCTCAGGGTTTGAGGCAAGTGTGTAATGATTTAGGCACACAGTTACATGATGCTAATTGGAAAGGAAAGTCAAAGGTTAACAGTTAACTGGAGGTGCTGGACATTAAACGATGCACAACATAACTTGCCATATTGTCCCACTATTCAGTTAATCAACACTATGTCAGTATTACAAATGATTAACCCCTTAAAGTCCCAGGCTTACTACATACTAAGCCTTATTGATCAGTAACTACAGGGATTTCAATACAAACTGGCTGTGCCTATTCTTAGGGCCCTGGCTATTTAAGCAATTAACTGAGCCACTGGTTTTGTTGATCAGTTGTATTTTAATTTCCACATTTAGATTAGCAAACGATTCTGATGTTGTATTGTATTCATCGTTACTGTGCTTGTATGGTTGCATAATGTCCTGTTGCATGTCCTGTTTTTTGTCCATTATGAAAAATTTCTCAATAGCTAAAAGAATGGTGATGGACAATGTTTTGCGCACAACCAACAGATGCCATACGTTTGTACTTCCCCATACTTATTAGCTACATTGGCCTTATGGCTCCAGTGCAAATCTAAAGAGGCAAAGTTGTCTGGGTGATCAACTACTATTTGGGTAAGGGGACTGATTTACAATGTCAGATGAGCCTCTGTTCAAGATTATGTTTACTGTAAGACTTCAACTGTGTTGGAGACCTGATCTTACACGTCACTCTCTTAATCTGAGAAATGACTGGAAAAAGTTTGGCCTAAAGTTTGGTTCAGCTGTTTGATTCAGGTTGCTCTCTTCTTGCATGACATAATGTTGTATCACTAATCATCAGTGAAATGTCAGATAAACAGGCTGATGCAATATTGTACCCACCAAATGAGTCTGTGGTCTCAGATGGACCAAATTAGATAAAAGTGTGAAGCAATAAGTTCTTGTCCTTTACACCTTTGATTAGTCTGATACCTGCGAGAGGTGCTCCATCATTAAAAGTGAGAAGTGGTAAATGGCCTCTAAGGCATTATCTTAGACTCTTGCAAAGACAAACATTACATCAGCTTGCACGTTACTATGATGCAATACAAACTTCACCTTCAACCTTTATTGTCAATCATAAGGTACTAAGTTTACTTTTTTTGTCTGTAAACACCAAAATTGTGTCTCATAATTATATATTAGGCTATTCAAGGTCTTTTCATTTCGAAAGCAGTGCTGGTAACCCTAGGCAATCACAGCTGTAACCTCTGGATCAGTATCTATATAAAGATACCTTCATATTTAAGTCTGTAAGTCTTCTTGACACAAAATACGATTAAAGATAGTCATAGCAGATGTGGTTTGAAGAAAGCACAAACAAATGAAATTCTGCTTTTATACAAAATAGAGCCAAAGCCTAATTAAGAAACAACATGAGATACTTGGCTGAAGAATCTTACATGCAAAACTAGGATAAGTATGACATTCATTAGAAAAATTCTGTCTGAAACTGAATATAGCTTGGCAAATTTCTCCCCAAATCTGACCCCGACCTCCAGTCTTACTTGCATCTAACTTTGTTCCTTCACATACTTACATGCATCAACCTCATGGGCCTCAGGGCCAACTTCATGAGTTAAAGTAATTGAAGGTAATGAAAGCAGGGATAAAAGCTAAAGAAGGCCAAAATCTATCAAAGGTGGGAGACTGGAGATTGTAACATGAGCTGACAACAGACATGAATATGAATGATGAATCCACTTTGTCTCCCTTTCAAGTATTTACGTATATGTTGATTGCTTTGAATTTCAGTTTTCAGCTTGAGTGAATATTTAGACATAATAAGTAACTTCTGGGTCCTAAAGCTCAAGCTACGAACCAGTGCACCAACGGCGTGTGCTTTTCCAACAACAGAGAGTCTTCTGAGTGGTGTTCTCAAAGTGTATAGAGTTTCACATATCGTGTTCTGCTACACATATGCAGTGCAAGTTCACTAAGTGGTTTTCATTAGTACAATGTACAATGCACCTAATGTGTGCGTGTTGGTAATGTAATATTTGAATATTTTTAAAAGGTGTTCCACAAGGTTCAATTCTGGGGCCTGTTTTGTTCACAATCTATACAGACAATATTATTTCCTCTGGAACTGGCTTTAATGAATATCTAGATGATACTTTTGTACTGTTCTCCAGATGCTGCACAATCAGCAGCAGAATCTCCTCAGCACTGCTTCGATGAGTTCAGTAAGAGTTAATGAAGTTCTTAATGCTGAACATAGTAAATTCATGTTGTTCACCAGAGCCAAACATACTGTATCTTTACCATGAATGGTCCTGAACTCAAGCCTTTGAACTTTATCATTCTGCACTCAGATTTATTACTTGTGGCAGCTTCAATACTCATCATTGTGAGCTTTAAGCTAAAGTTGGATGACCCTATTCATTTGTGTTGTGTTTTTGCTAAAATGAATTTTAATTTAGCTTATTTTTTATGTCACTTATGAAGTGGCTTTCTCAATATATCTCTGAATATAAATAAAAGTCAAATTTAATTTTATTTAACTTATTACTGGTCATATGGTTGCTTGTCACATGCCATGGCATTAAAGTGACCAAGCGTTTAGTCCATGGTGCTTTCTTGGTAGTTTACCAGAATCACTTTAATTACATCCATGATATTAATGCTTGTTTCTGATTAATCAAAGAGCGTCTTTTTCTTGTGGGAATCTTTGATACAGTTTTGGCTGTGGGGAGATTGAAACATTCCCATTGGTGAAGAGGTGGTTCCTTTGCGAAACGAATATAAGTCAAGGTCAAGATGAACACAGGTCATTTATTTAGTTTTACAGGCTTGTGTTGGCTTCCTGTGTTTTATGATGTTTTAAACTTTGGCATAAATTGTTTTGCTTTTATGTGTAAACCTTTGCTTTGTTCATTTGATACTTATTCTACTTTTTTGGTCATCTAAGAAGCTTTTCCTTTTGAGCCAGGATATATTTTTGCAGCTTGAATGGACATCCTAATTCGAAATAAGACTGATGCCGAGGCAAATGTGCTTCTCTGCTTTCCACATGAGCCAGACTCCTGCCCAAGAATACACCATTTTTCTGTGGTTAAAGCAGGCATGTATGCCTTCATGCTAGCTGCTATTCTTTTGACTGTGCTGGGGAATCTGCTAGTCATCATTTCCATTTCTCACTTTAAACACTTGCAGTCTCCAACTAACCTCATCATCCTCTCCCTGGCTTTGGTGGACTGTTTGTTGGGCTGTCTGATCATGCCCTTCAGTATGGTACGTTCAGTGGAAGGCTGCTGGTTCCTGGGTGACGTCATTTGTAAAGTACACTCTGGTTTAGATATGACACTTTCTCTGGTGTCCATTATGCACCTTTGTTTGGTATCTGTTGAAAGGTACTTGGCAATCTGTGAACCTTTGACATACAAGATGACGGTGACAAACAGCAGCGTAGCAGTATGCATCAGCATCACATGGCTAATTCCGTTTACGTATAGCTTTGGGATTGTCTTTTCCCAAGTTAATACTGTAGGCTTGGACATGCTTATGCTGAATCCATGCGTTGGAAACTGTGCATTAGTTTTTAACAAACAGTGGGCTGTTCTTGCTTCATTCACCAACTTCTTCATCCCCGGCTCCATCATGAGTTCTCTGTACCTCAAAATCTTCTTTGTTGCAAATAAACAAGCTAGAGTTATATCTGACATGATGGCTGCAATAACCTCAAGTGAAGTGAAGAGTCATTCGTCAGAGCAGAGGGAGAGAAAAGCAGCTAAAACCCTGGCTGTTGTTATGGGGGTGTTCCTGCTCTGCTGGCTGCCGTTTTTCATCGCTACTATAACTGATCCATTCATTGACTTCTCAACCCCTGTTGTTGTTTTTGATGCTTTGGTGTGGTTTGGTTACTTCAATTCTACATTTAACCCTCTGATCTATGGCTTTTTCTACCCTCGCTTTCAGAGAGCTTTTAAGATAATTGTTTCAAAATATGTCTGTCATCTCTGCAACTTCAGCAACTCAATATTCTGATTGTCATACATGTTTGCTTAGATACTTATACTAAAGCTAGTAAAGCTTGTTGTAAATACACATAAGATGATGTTGGTTAGTCGATCGCAAGAGCAGCAGTCCTTTCTGTTATGTAGTATGTTATTGGTATGTGAAAGGATTTGAACAAAATAATTAAATGAACAAATTATGCACTTGAATTTTCTCATTTGCCCCAATTACAATAATGCGAAAACTTTGTCAGATTTATTTAATCACATTGATTCATTTGCTTTTCCCTTCCCTTCTGTGGCTTTTCCCATGTTTCTGTTCCAAAATGTGTGTCTAAGAAGTTGTACAGTAAGTTACAGATATGATCCAGAAACAATAAAGCAATATTTCATACCATAGTGTGTTTTTTTTTGTTGTTTTTTTTGTTTTTTTGGAGGGGGGCATGTATTGGGGGGGTGGGGGGGCTATACAGGAGAAAGCTTGATATTGCATTACTTTGTCACTTCACACTCACTTAAGGTGAATATTGGTAAAGTGGGAGGGACGCTTAAGCTTTATTCTCATATTTTCATGTCTTTATGATTCTGTGATCAAAGTCACTTTTGAGGGAGCAGCAAACTCCAAAACTAGCATCGTGAATATTAAATCAAATCAAACCAAATCAAGTTTTATTGGCCACACACACATCCATACACAGCTTACACACCTGTCCTTTGCCATGAAAAACAGCAGAAACAATAGAAAACATGACATAGAATATGAAAGAAAGGGAAGAAGAATATACAATATATAAATATAAGGATATAATAAAATACAAGTATATGTGTATGTAAAGTGCAGATGTGTGTATTTGTTTTAATGAGTAGGAGGTAGCAGAATGAAAGGGGTTGATAAATATTATAACTGCTTATAATTTATAACATAAATATTATGAATAAATATAGCAGTATGTATTGTGTATGTAGGGTATATGGGAGTTGTGCAGTAAACAAGTTATGTGTGTTTGTGTATGTATAAAAAGTCCTAGTTGTCCTAGCTGAGGGCCCAAATGGCCTGTGGGTAGAAGCCCTCGTCATTCTCTCTGTGTTTCCCTAACCATAATAGAGAGTAGAGTCCGTTGTTGGGATGGCTGAAGTCTTTAACTGTCTCCCTGGTTTTGGTCAGCAACACTTGCTGTAGACAAACTGCAGGTCTGGGAGCTCTGTTCAGATGTCACACTCAGCTGATCACCTTCTGGAAAGCCCACCTATCCTGCTTAGTGTTGTTCCCAAACCAGGCTGTGGTGCTTCCTATCAGGATGCTCTCGTGGTGCAGATGTAAATGTTCTCTAACACAGTGGAGAACAGTTTAAAGTTTCTAAAGCATCTAAAGTGGTAAAGCTGCTGAGGGGCCTTCTTGACCAGGGTGGTGATGTGGCAGGACCATGACAATTCCTGCATGATGTGGACACCAAGGTACCGGAAGTTGTCCACTCGTGGCACTGGGGCATAACTGATCCTGAGGGGTGGCAGCTCCTCTGCTGCTTCTTGCCGAAGTCCACTATCAACTTTTTTGTCTTGCTGATGTTCAGGAGGAGGTGGGTCTCCTGGCATTAGTTCTCAAGATGCTTAATCTTCTCCAGGTAGGCCGTCTTATCATTCTCAGAGTCCAGACCCACTAAAACAGTGTCGACTGTGAACTTGACAATGGTGGTAGAGTTAGAAATGGCCAAGCAGACGTAAGTGTACAATGAGAACAGTAGGGGGCTCAGGACACAACCCTGTGTCCTGAGGGTAAGAGAAAGTGATCATCATTCGCCATTCTTGGTGGGTGGTGATCTACAGTCTGTCATCATTCTCATCGTTCCCTGTCACAGGCTCCTAGAGCCACATTGATGGAACTGTGACTCTAGTTTCCTACCGTTAGTGCCACATCACCTCCTTCACCATTCTGCACATGCTGTAGGATGCAGCCTTGTGCTCCTCCATGTTCCTTGTGGCAAACCCCACATCGTAGGCAGTGGTGCAAGTCTTGTAAGGCCACCGATAGGCCCTTTTCACATTTCTGCAATTTTTCTGCTGGAAGTAGTCGTTGCAGGGTAACACTGCTTTCGCTAAAGCAAGAACAATAACAACAATGATGAGTAGAGCACGTACAGCTTACTAAAGTTTTTAAGCTTGAAGCAAAAACAACTTTATCTCTCAGTTTTAGTGGATTGTCAGCTGACAATGAGTAGAGGAAAACTGAATTTGTGCAGTTAATGAAGGTATAAATTTTGTCATACAGAGAAAAAGAACCTCTGCGCCAGCATTTTACCACTGCTGACTAACGTTAACATGCAGTTCCTGCTTTAAAGTTGGTGCTACAGCTGCTTTCAGAGAAACAGTTTTCATTTTTCTCCCTCAATAGCTGTCGGCATCTGAGGGAGCAAGTGCTCAGCGGGTAGATGTTCACTCACTGGAGCCAGTGTTTTTGTAAAACATCTGTAAAACAGCTGACGTTATTGTACTCTAATAGCTGTGAAGGAATTTTTCCATTAAGCATTTATATCTTTTATTTAGTTTGAACTCCCACATTGATGTGTGTTTGATGTTGTCCAAAAATTCTGGACACATCCTAAATTTTCAATCTTGGCAACTATGACAAAGAAAGTGACACACCTTTCTGTGGTGGCTGAAGTGATATGAACACCTGTATTTCTGAGGTTAATAACTGTCCGTAAGGAAATAGCAGAACTTGTTTTACACAGCGTTTACACATCTCTGTTTCTTGTGAAGAGGGCCTATTGGTCCATCCAGTGTATTTAGGCAGTAGGAAGATGGCAGTATGGTCTGATTTCCCAAAGAGTGGAAGAGACCATGCCTTGTAGCCTTCTTTGAATGGACAATAACAATGGCCCAGTATTCTTTCACCACTGGTGGAGCAGGTGATAGGTTGATGTAAATTTGGCATTACACGCTTGCGGTTGGGACTGTTAAAGTCCTCTGCCACGATGAGCACAGCATCCTGGTGATCTGGTATTGGGTGAGATCCTTATGTAGTGCACATAAGGAAGTGTTCGTGACTGCCAGAGGTGGACTATAAACTGCACTGATTATGACAGATGTATATCCTGAGGAAGGTGGAAAGGGTGACATTTGATGTTCAGGAGCTCCAGATTGGGTGTGCACTAGCATGTGAGAGCTGTTGCACCAGCTGTTGTTCACCATCGGACTCACTCCATCTCCCCTTGACTTCCCTGATCCATTGCTCTGCTCATGTAGTATCATCATGTCTCAGTAAAGCACAGGAGGTTATAATCCCAAATGTCTCTCTGGAACCTAACCCGGGCATTGAGGTCATCCTGCTTGGTTGGTTGGCTAGCAGGATGCTAGGCAGGGGCGCACAGTGTCCACAAGCCCTGAGCCTTTTCCTGACACCAGCTTGTTTCCGTTTGTATTAATACCTTTAAAGATAAAAGATGCTTTTGCACCCAGTTTAGTCACTCCAGCATGAAGGAGTACTGCAGGATAATGCTTTATTACAGCAATCTGTAAGTGAAAATGGTATATGTTAACCCTTAGAAAAGGCTAGTGATAATAAAAGCATGTTGTACTTTTATATTAATTATTCATCACTGGAACAAGTAGAGAAATTATCATTTATAACAATAATTTATTGAAATGTATTCAAAGTGCAAATTCTAAACTTTGGTCTTGTAGTGGTCAACTGTAATGTACTGCATTAAGTGCAGTAGTTACAATAACATGTTTCTAAATAAAAGGCCCAGTATCATATTTCTGTTATCTCATCAACATACGATTTAAAATGTATCTTATCATCAATTCCAATACCTCCAATTTCAAATGTATGCATATACTTAAATATCATTTTGTGTGCAGTTTAATAAGTTGTTCACTAAGAATGGGTACCATGGGAACACACGACTAACACTTAGTGCATCAGATGACATTCAAACAAGGACATTTGAGAAACAGCTAATGTTTTTTTGGTCATGGAATGATGTCATATTAAAGGAATTGTATTGGCGAAGGTGAAATCCAGAATCTATTTAAGCTAAGATGCAACTGCACAGCCTTCATTTATGTAGTTTTATGGGTGTTATAACTATCAGCTATAACCATATTTTAATGAAAATCTTTTTTCCCACCTATTAATAATTGTACTATGTTGAAATCTGTACCCTGGTCAATATTTTACTTTTAAAGGACACATTTAAATGGCTTGGATGGATGCCCTTAATAAGAACATGACTGATGCTGATGTGGAGAATGTGCTTCTCTGCTTCCCTCACCAGCCTGACTCCTGTCTGAGAGCACATCGCTTTCTTGCACTCAAAGTTGCCGTGTACGTCTTACTGCTGGCTACAATTCTTATGACTGTTTTTGGGAACCTGCTGGTCATCATCACTATTTCCCACTTTAAACAGCTGCATTCACCCACTAACCTCATCGTCCTCTCCCTGGCCTTAGTGGACTGTTTGTTGGGCTGTCTGATCATGCCTTTTAGTATGGTGCGATGGTTGGAACGCTGCTGGTTCTTGGGTGATATTTTTTGTAAAATACATTCTAGTTTGGATATGACACTAAGCATTGTATCTATTCTACATCTATCATTGGTCTCCATTGACAGGTACCTGGCCATTTGTGAACCTTTGAGTTATAGAATGAGGATGACCAATGGCACTGTGGCCGTGTGCATCGCTGTCATTTGGCTGTTTTCGCTCACATATAGTTTTGGGGTTGTTATGTCCAATGCAAATATTACAGGTTTGGAGAATCTTTCAATATTCAGTTCTTGTGTGGGAAACTGTGCTTTGATTTACAACAAAGAAAGTGGTATCATTCTGTCATTTGTGGCTTTTTTCATTCCAGGGACGATCATGATTTCACTGTACCTAAAGATCTTCTGTGTTGTAAGACAACAAGCTAAAGTAATGTCTGAACGGGTAACTGTGAGGCGAACCTCTTGTGAAACACACATCCACTCCTCAGAGCAGAGGGAGTGGAAGGCAGCAAAAACTCTGGGCATTATTATGGGAATGTTTTTACTGTGCTGGTTGCCATTCTTCATTGTTACTTTGACTGATCCGTTTCTCAACTTCTCAACCCCTCTAGATGTTTTTGATGCCCTGATATGGTTTGGATACCTCAATTCTACTTTCAACCCCTTGGTCTATGGCTTTTTTTATCCACGCTTTCAGAGGGCGTTTAAGATCATCATCACAAAATATGTTCTACACCTCAGTAATGCAAGTCATTTAGTACTGTAATTCTACCTGGTTTCACAGGCCAGGGTGGGTAGTGTCATGAGCACTTTATTAGGTACACCTACCCTATCTGCATTTATTGCAAAATTTATCAGCTCCATTTAGCAAATAGGATCACTTTGTAGTTCTACAGCTACAGACTGTAGTCCATCTGTTTTCTGCATTCTTTGTTAGCCCCTTTTACCCTGTTCTTCAGTGGTCAGGACCACCACAGGGCAGGTATTATTTGGGTGGTGGGCCATTCTCAGCACTGCAGTGACACTGACATGGTGTGTTAGTGTGTGTTGTGTTGGCACGAGTGGATCAGACACAGCAGTGCTGCTGGAGTTTTTAAACACTGTGTCCACTCACTGTCCACTCTTTTAGCCACTCCTGCCTTGTCAGTCCGCCTTGTAGATGTAAAGTCAGAGACAATAGCTCATCTGCTGCTGCACAGTTTGTGTTGGTCATCCTCTAGTCCTTCATCAGTGGGCGCAGGACGCTGTTGGCTGGATATTTTTGGTTGGTGGACTATTCTCAGTCCTGCAGTGACACTGAGGTGTTCAAAAACCTTAGCAGCACTGCTGTGTCTGTGATTGTAGAACTACAAAGTGCTCCTCTATGGTCAGTGGAGCTGATAAAAATGGACAATAAATGTAGATACAATGTATCTAATCCATAATAAAGTTCTAAATAAGTATGGATACATTACAAAATGTAATACTGAATTTAGCATAAACCTTTGTTTAATGCATGCATAAATCTTGCTGTACTCCTTTGTTGTAGTGTTAAAGTTTGGAACATTTAAAAAGTTATATCTGGGCTAACAAGCAAGTTGCAAATTAATCTGAAATTAATTTTTACACATTGGCTAAGTACCACGCCTGTTCGGCCTTCACTCTGTCAATGTGTAAATTAGATTTAATAATAAAAAAGTTGAAATGTAAGAGACCTTTTTTTTTTTTTTTCTTCAAGAACATTTTTGGGGCCTGTGAACCTGTTTGGGGGCTTTTGTAAGTACAGTCAGATGTGTTTTGATCCAGGCTTTCATGCACACAGTTTCATAATTCCATTATATTGCTAATCAGTTGTATCCGACCTTATTATTTTTCATTGCAATAAAAACACGTTCACTAAGGGAACACTAAAAATCACTTCCGTAGTTTACACGCGGTATTGCCAAAAAGCAGCTGTACATACATCTGAATCTAGATTTCTAATAAACAATCTGATGGTTACAGTTCATAGGTTGAAAAGGAATGACCACTAAGAGAACCAAGGATCTCTAGGGCCAAGGCTCACTGAACCAGAAATGTACAAGAAGGGTATACCAAAGCCATGAAGGCACAGTAGGAAAACATCAGCCACTGCTGTGATTTTCATAATTCTTTGGTTACTGATAAAGAGGCACTGTGAGATCAAAGGAAGCACTGCAGATCATAAATCAATGTGTTTTCAAACACTGTTGAGGAAAACCATACCATCTCTTCATCAGTAATGGTATTTTACAATAAATGTGGACATGAACTGGCAGCCAGTGTAATGCTGAAAAAATAAGGGTAATATTCTCAGGGTATTTGGGCTGATTCCCTATTTCTGGCCTGATTAAATCTCGAATGTGCGTTGTATGTGAGATAACAGTAAATAATTTTACCCAGTTGTCACAGGTAAATGTGATGTGATGTTGAAAATACATAATGTTCAAACTGCTTGTTCCTAGGGAGCTTTGGAAATAAGTTAGTGGCAGCATACAATCTATATAAGAAAAAATATTGGTCCTAAAACAGGGCCTTGTGGGACACCGAAGTTAGTTCTTTGGTGTTCAGTTCTTTGTTTAATCTTACAAGTTGATAAATATTGTGGTCTACCAGCATGTGTAGAGATAGAGCCCAGGTGGAGGTTGAGCCCCTGCCCTTCCCTTTTGGCCTCGGACTGTACTAGTACAAGATCAGATGCCAAAGACGCACAGCTGCACTGAGAACACAGCTTGTGGGTCAGCTTGGGCTCTTCTTTTCCACCTCTTCAAGTGCAGTACAATTGCGTGTGGATATTTCACCTCAGTCATCTCCCAGCAGTCATGGTCATTTATTTAATGGCCAGATTGCCCTTTTTTCCTTATACCCCAAATCTCTATGCACAGACCTGGTTGTCTATTCTCTCAAATGCCAATGCAGTCCTGGTCAGAGGACAAAAACAGATTGTTTGTTACATCCCCTGGTGTTGTTTGTGTACTGTGATATGGCCTAAAACTGTGATGTCGTCATCATCATCATCATCATCGTTAACCGCTTAGTCCAGATAGGGTCGCGGTAGCAGTTGGGAGAGCAGAGAATCCCAGGTGACCCTGTCCCCCGCAACTTCCTCCAGCTCATTCCCGGGGACCCCAAGCCGCTCCCAGGCCAACTTGGAGATATAATCCCTCCAGCGGGTCCTAGGACGACCCCGGGGTCTTATTCCGGTAGGCCGTGCCTGGTACACCCCCACCGGGAGGCGTCCAGGGGGCATCCGGATCAGATGCCCGAACCATCTCAGCTGGCTCCTCTCAATGCGGAGGAGTAGCGGCTCTACTCCGAGCTCCTCCCGGATGGCCGAGATCCTCACCCTATCAAACAGAGTGTAGCCCGCCACCCTGCGAAGAAAGCTCATTTCTGCCACTTGTACTCGCGATCTCATTCTTTCGGTCATTACCCACAGCTCATGACCATAGGTGAGGGTCGGGATGTAGACTGATCGGTAAACCACTACAGTCCGGTACAGCGACCGCATTACTGCTGCCGCTTGTCCCAGCCTGCGGTCGATCTCACGATCCTTCTTCCCATCACTCGTGAACAAGACCCCGAGATACTTAAACTCCTCCACCTGGGGCAAGTCCTTTCCCCCTACCTGGAGTGGGCATACCATCCTTTTCCGAGCTAAGACCATGGACTCAGACTTGGAGGTGCTGATCCGCATACCAACCGCTTCACACTCAGCTGCAAACCGCTCCAGTGTGCGCTGGAGGCATCCATGCGATCCAGCCAAAAGAACAACATCATCTGCAAATAGCAGAGATGCCACACTCCGGCCTCCACACATAATGCCCTCCTGACCACGGCTACGCCTTGACACCCTGTCCATGAATATCACAAACAGGAGTGGAGACAGGGCACAACCCTGGCAGAGTCCAACGCTAACACTGAAAGAGTCTGACTTAATGCCGAGTATACGAACACAGCTCTCACTCCGGGCGTACAGAGATTGAATGGCCCGGAGTAGTAACCCCGGCACCCCATACTCCCGGAGGACCTCCCACAAGATATCTCGGGGAACACGGTCATAAGCCTTCTCCAAATCCACAAAACACATGTAGACTGGGTTGGCAAACTCCCATGCCCCCTCAACAATCCGTGAGAGGGTGAAAAGCTGGTCCATTGTTCCACGGCCAGGACGGAATCCGCATTGTTCCTCCTCAATCTGAGGTACAACTATCGGTCGAAGTCTCCTTTCCAGCACCTTGGCCTAGACTTTCCCAGGGAGGCTGAGCAGTGTGATACCCTGATAGTTGGCACACACCCTCCAGTCCCCTTTCTTGAAAATAGGGACCACCACCCTGGTCTGCCAGTCCAAGGGTACTGTTCCCGAGGTCCATGCACTATTGCAGAGGCGTGTCAGCCACGACAGCCCCACAATATCCAGAGCCTTAAGCATCTCCGGACGAATCTCATCCACCCCCGGTGCCTTGCCACTGAAGAGCTTGCCAACTACCTCAGTGACCTCCACCAGGGAAATGGAGCTTGACACGCCAGAGGCCTCTGGCCCTGACTCCCGTAAGGGAGGCATGTCACCCGGATTAAGGAGTTCCTCAAAGTGCTCTTTCCACCGACCGACAATATCCTCATTTGAAGTCAGAGTTTCTCCACCCCTGCTGAATACAGCCTGAGTGCAGCCACCCCGACCACTCCTGAGTCACCAGACAGTTGTCCAGAACCTCCTCGAGGCCGACCGAAAGTCTTTTTCCATGGCCTCACCAAACTCCTCCCACTCCCTGGATTTTGCTTCTGCCACCGTTGCAGCTGCCACCTTTTTTGCCTGTCGGTACCTATCTGCTGAATCGGGAGTCCTTTGGGCCATCCAGTCCCTAAAGGCCTCTTTCTTCAGCTTGACGGCCTCCCTCACCACCGGTGTCCACCAGGGGGTTCTTGGGCTACCGCCATGACAGGCACCAACAAGCTTTTGGCCACAGCTACGCCTGGCAGCTTCCACAATGGAGGTTTTGAACAGGGTCCATTCAGACTCTATGTCCCCTACCTCCTCCGGGACATGAGAAAAGCTCTCCCGGAGGTGGGAGTTAAAATCATTCCGAACAGGGGCCTCTGACAGTCGTTCCCAGCACACCCTCACTATTCGCTTGGGCCTACCGGGTCTAACCCTCAGTCTTCCCTGCCATCTGATCCAACTCACCACCAGATGGTGATCAGTTGACAGCTCGGCACCTCTCTTCACCCGAGTGTCCAGAACATATGGTCCCAAGTCAGATGAAACGACAACAAAGTCAATCATTGACCTTTGACCCAAGGAGCTCTGGTACCATGTACACTTATGAACATCCTTGTGTTCGAACTTGGTGTTCGCCAACATGAGCATTGAAGTCTCCCAGTAAGACTATGGAGTCTGTAGTCGGGACCCTTTCCAGAACCCCGCCCACTTGCTCCAAGAAGGCCGAATACTCCGACCTGTTGTTTGGTGCATAAGCACACACAACAGTCAGAGTTTTCCTCTCTGCAATTTTAATATGCATTGAGGCGACCCTCTCGTCCTCCAACTACATTGCCGCCAGCCGGGGACTCGTGAGTATCCCCACACCTGCCCAGCGCCTCTCACCTTGTGCAACCCCGGAGTAGGAGAGGGACCAACCCCTATCCAGGAGTTTGGTTCCAGAGCCGATACTGTGGGTGGAGGTGAGCCCAACTATATCTAGTTGGTACCTCTCAACCTCCCACACAAGCCCCGGCTCCTTCCCCCCAGTGAGGTTACATTCCACATAC